AGGAAATGGAACCAAAGCTTAACTGTCCAAAGAGGCTACGACTCCACATCAAGCAAGACCCTTGGAACCTCCCCAGCAGCGTCCGAAGTCTTGCCCAGAATATCAGAAAATTTGTTGAAGGTTAGTAAGAACAACATGACCACTTCATTAATGATAGAGAGCCTGGAGAAGGGAAGGGGAAAGATACAATTGCTTCATGTTGCAGCCAGGCAGTGTTTGCTGAACACAGTGTAGTCTCTGGGAAATGCCTGAATTTCAGGACTTTTGTGTTCTCACTAGCCAGGTGAGTGGAGTGTATATCAGCTGTCTCGTGCTCACCCTATTGGCTTCAGATACTGAAGAGAAAATACTCTCTTCTGACAAGTGAAAACAAACGAACCATATGTTGCATGTGCTACGTTATTTCAGTTGCTGCTGAAGTCCAGTGGGCTTGACTGATTTGTTACAGAACTTCATGGGATGACACACCAAAACGGGGCTTTCCTTGAAATTAAACTCCCTCTTTTTCTACCATCTTAAGTGGAAGCATGAGGCTTCTGTAGGACAACTTTTGTCCTATATCTTGCTGTTATCAGTCATTGATCTGGAATCATTATTCCTCTAAAATCATGCTCCCTCTTCTGCCATGAAGCCAAACTTTTTCCACTGGTTTTCGCTTACTCCATCACAACTGATCCTATCACTCCTCCTCCTTGACCTCCTTCCCACCACTGTCTAAAAGTTACCTAGTACTCTGCTCCTCTTCACCACCAGTTGACAATGTGAGCTGGGGTTTTCTGCTCTCTCCCCTGGCTTCATAAGATAGTAACTGGGATTTCCTCTCCAGAAGATCTTGTTTGTAGCTTCTGCTTTATTTCCTGTGCTGTTTGATAGAGAAACAGAAATAATGAGCAAAATTATTTTTATAAAACTACTTGCACTAGGAGTCTACGTGGGAACAAAAACTTGTGTCAGGTCTAGCTTTAAATGAATTGTGTGTGTATTTAGCTTCTTGTGTTTTGTTGGCTAATTTCCATGGTGTCCCATAAAGAAACTGCTAAATTTCAGATTACTGGAAAAGAACTTTGTGATAAGTTTTATTAAGATAAACCTCCAAAACCCAACCAGCCAAACCAAACAAACTCCTCTGACTTTTGGTATTTTTCATTTTAGATACAATCATATTTTCAGACCCTGGGTTAGAAAATTATAAAAACAACCACAAAAATATCTCCTATTTTTGGAGTCAATCACAGTGAATTAACTCTCCAATACTAAGACTACTTCTTTTAGTTTAATAGTGGCTGTCACTGAGTGAAAAATGAATAAATATTTTTGGATCATTTTTTCTTCAGATGTATCTTCAGCCTACACTGAATTATATTCAAAGATTAATCATGGTTTCTTTCACAGTTCAGGAGGAATGGAAATGAGTCTTTAACAGTCCTCCATTGACTCCCTTCTAAAGCCAAGCCTAACAGACCATTTTCACATAACTTGTTTGCCCGTAAATAGAATTAATAGTCTTAACTCATTTCAACATTGGTCATATACCCGCAATATTTTACTGAGGTTATTCAGATAAATTTGGTTTTTAATCTACCACAAAATTTTGTGGGAGAGTTCAGGAAGGTCCAAATGACTTGCTGCCTCTCTGTAATACAAACCTTTTTTTATAATGCAACTATAATGTAATGATGATATTTATCAGAAGGAATCTTGATGTTTACAGAGCAATAAAACTGTTGGCATTTTATAGTGTTTTAGAAATTAGGATCAAAAAAGGCTTTCTCTTGTAATAAATTACAGTAACTGACTATTGCAACTGTAGTGCTTGTGAATGGTGCATGGTTCAGAGAACTAAATAGCAAAAGGCATTATTCTTGTGCTGTTCAAGGAAAGCACACATTCTGCCTTACCTTCCCTCGTCACTGTGTCTCAGAAGTTGTCTGCCCATTTTAAATATTTTTGGCTCTCCCTTTCCATCCACAGCATCTGAGCTTTTGTCAGAGATTTCCAACAGCTGGCTTCTGTGCCATCTTCTTAACCAAATACATGGGTTTACATGTAAAATGATCATCTTATGTCGTTTATTCACCATCAGTCTTTAAATCTTTCTATCATCTTGTGGTATATTTTCTTTAATTTGATTCCTATTCCTGCCCCCACCCCCCTTCTCCCCCCCTCAACCTGGTATCACTAACACATGTACCTGAGAAGTACTCTGGAGAATCTACATCTTCCTCATAATTTTTATTTGCCTGTGGGACCAAGGAGTTGGTGTGATGTAAAGGATACCTGAAAGCCTAGGCTCTTGTGGAGTCCCTGGCACAAATAGCATGAAGGAGAAACAGGAGAATGGAAGTAAATAATTACTTCTCAAGCCTTAGTTTCCAAGGCATGTCTGGACAGGTATATGTAATTCAGTGTTGAAAAGATTCAGGGCAGAAATGTGCCCTTCAGGCAGTTTTGGGAGACTGCTGTTATTTAGACAGGCTTAGGCCTGTATAAATTAAATTTGAGACACAACCACCAGCTGCATCTAACTGAAATCAGATGAGCATGAAGTAGGCTTAAAAATGCTTTAGCAGCTAAATTTTCCCTTCATATCTTCATTTCTTGTTTTCTTCTTTCCAATCTTGCCATTACGCATTGTGCTCACAAATGGTCAGGATACGTAGAACCAGTAGTACAGCTCTGAGCTATTCCTGACGGAAAACGTTAACACATAGCATAGTGATTTACCTCCCTGTTTTCCCTTGTATTCACCTGATCCAGGAGAAAACAAAAGGTGTCCCCTAATTTGACTGCTTAATTGGGCTTATGAGAATAAGTTGAACAAATTTGTGGGATTTTAGAAGAATGTTCATGTTTGTTTATATGTAAAAGACAGTATTTTCATAATTGAGGAAAGCAGATATATTTGTCTCTTCTAGCAGGTTCTAGAGGAAGTAGTCAAAATAGAAGACAGATAGAACTTAGTTCACCATGGAGAAAAGAACTGTAATTAAACCCTCCAATTTTGTAAACATACTTTACCATTATTGATGAATTCTAAAGTAGGGATGAATGCTTTCAGTAAATGCATCTCCTTATTGAAAACTGACTCATTTTTACTTTCATAAGAATATTACAGGTTATTGTAATTTTTTACTCTTTATTCTGTTGCATTGTAGAAAGTGTTGTATTAGATCAGAGTGATTAGTGCTTTAAAACAGAAGGAGACATGGGAGCCCTGCAAGAATGAGACATTTAAAGTCATAGATCTTAGGATTCCTTTTATTTACTTTGTTTAATAAGTACGAAGAAATGGGAAAACTCAAAATGCCTTGAGGATGATCGTGCTGGTCTGTCAGTTTTCTTTTTATTAGTATTGGAATTGGGAGAACAATTTTTAAAAAAACCCAACCAAACCTTTCTTGACGGTTAATCTAAAACATATGTGGAGATTGCTTTGTCTCATTTCATTGATCATACCATATCATTAGAGAAATAAAAGTTTTCTTTGGTTACAGTAAAATGCAGCCCTAGAAGGCTAATTGAGTTGATAGAATTGAAGAGTTCTCTGAAATAGCATACAGATTCTAGGAGGATTTCTCTGGAGCTAAGTAATGAAAGAAATGATAAAAGTTGTTTCTTGGAGTGACTGGGCCTACTAAATAGTTAAACCGATAAAGACAAGTTGTTGGTGCAGGCAGATCTTTGAAGATGGACTGCTTGATTTTGGAGTGGGAGAGAGCAGTAGTCAGGGCCACTGAATGGAGAAAGAATAATGTAGGTGCAGGATTTTGGATGTACATGAGATATGTAACATGAGAATTGGAAAGCACAAGAGGAAAAGCTGAGGGATGACTCAGGTAGGAACCAGAAAAATCAACAAGATGGATGGAAAGAAGAGGACCTTCAGAAGGAGAGTAAAACCAAAACTGGCCAGCATAACAACACAAAGGTGTAAAGAGAAATAAGAGGAGGAGAAATTTTTGTAGCTGTGTTTTCCCAAAGAAAAAAAAGGTAAGATTTTTGGCCAAAAGAAGAGGTGCTTTAGAGCAAGTCAGGTTTCTAGTCAGCTAGTCACATAACTGTATGAGAAAGTGCAGTTGTTTTGCTAGCACAATAATTTTAAGTTTAATCAGGAAATCCTATGCAATTGAGAAAGTTCACATGTATTTCAATTTAAATTAGGAGTGAGGTGCGAAGGAGCCATTCAGTCATTAAAGGTATAAAAAATGTATTTCTACTTCAACCATAAAACAGGCAGTGTGAATCTCAGTGTTATTTCAAAAATATTTTCAGATGTGAGAAACAAAACTAAAATCTAGCCTTTACTGGCAAAGATCAGAATAGCAGAATAGGATGAGGGGGGAAACAAAAGAATGTTTAAGACTAAAAGCAGTTGAAGCCATCTTGCATTACAAATCATATAATGTAATGAGAAATTGCTAGGGAGTTATTCCTTTCCATACACCATGTAGCAAGAAGGGTGAAAACTTCCATAGCATTTGGAATTTGTTCTCTTCTAACCCCAGGAAAGTCTCTACTTATACAAATAATCTGAAAATACTCTCTTGCCTGTGGGTATATTTTGAAATGGAGAAGACTTATAGCAATGATAAAGGAGAGTTGCAGTGTCCCGTAATTTCCCATAAGCAGGAAATCATTATTTATAGATACCTCAGATGCTTTTGAATTCAAAGATCCAATAAATTTCATATGAACCAAGCTGCAAGTAATAGCTTCAATGTATCTAAACTCTTCAGATAAAAGCTGTATTTCCCTATACTGTATTTTCAGTTGCTAAGCTATGTTCAGACTTCAAGATTCCAAGTTATTAATCTCTGTAAGGTTTTTTTCAAAAGACAGACGGCTAAGGCAAGGACCTATCACCAGGCAATTTTCAAGAATAACCAGTAATTTAGAGTGGTTTTTGATGCTTGTTATTTGAGATATGGTGGGCATGCATTTCAGAAGCATAGGCACTGCCAGTTCTTTTCACAGTGCGTGTACAGCATGGACGAAGATCAGACTTGAAAGGTTTTCTTCTTTTTTTAAGCATAATCACCTTTGGGGAAGATTCTGGCTTTTCATAGATGTGTTCAAGTATACACAGAATCTAGACTGTGCTGTTGATACAGTCAGCTTCAGTGTCAGTTCCATCGTCTGAGTTATATTCTAATGTCAAACAATTCAGATTTCAAACCTATTACGTTAGTTTTAGTAGGGGGCAACATATTCCCAAATTGTCCTATTGTCCATATACCCCATAGCAGCTCTACTAGTCCATTGAGCAGGGCTTAGAATAGGACTGCATAGAAAATTTGGTGTATGAAAGAAAGTTTGGAAAGATGTGAAAACGTGTAGTAGCGGTGTGTTCCTACAGGCAGTTACTGCAGGACAACTGGTGTGCTGGAAGTTTGACACTCTCTAAGGTTATGGCAGCTTTTTAATGTGCCCGTTCCTTACAGGAGTGGTTAACACATTTAAATTTGTGGTTTTGTACACAATTTGTGGTAGAGAGGAAGAATCACTTCCTTCAGCCTGCAAACTTTGAGACCCAGCCCCCCTGCCCTTGCAAAAAAAAAAGGGGAAAAAAAAAAACCAACAACAGTGTAAAGAGAAATAAAACCAAATTTTTGTCTGTGTAAATTAAGACTTTTTTAAAATCTGTACCTTTTTACTTCATAGATTGTTAAGTGAAAAGAAATGTTTGAAGCAAAGTAAAATCCTGAAGGCTGAGAATGAAGTGAAAATGCTGTTGTATTTTTCCTGGATGCTTTGGTATACATTAGAATCAGGATAATTTGAGATTTTTAAGTATGGAATGAGAGAGGGAAACGAAAAAGAAAAAAAAAAAAGAAAAATTGAGGTAGTGTGGGAATCAGTGAAAAACGGTCTTGGTTTTCAAAGTTTTGAGACTGGAATTCTTCATGTGTGGACTTGCACTGGCCAGCTGGTACACATGTGCTCTGAGATAGCAGCTGCCTCTTCATGTGGCCTGCTCAGTGCTGGTGCTTTTGATTATTATCAGTTTTATCAAGTCATATGTAAAATGAAGTGAAGTTGAGATTTATTACTGTTTTGTAGGTATAAATCAGGATTGTCTATACAAGAAATCGAAGTTAAGCTGGTATAAAATCAGAAACTGCAAATGCATTATTACATTGATGAAAACACTTTAACCATGACCTCAATATGTTTTCTTTTTTCTTTAAGAGGTGAAGGCACGAATACTCTTGGCACTTCTTGAGTATACAGGTAATTTGGCTGTTTTGGGAGTGGGGGAAATGAACGTGGATGGTTTGAGTTTTATTTTTCTTTTGGACAGAATACTGTTGTTTAGAGAAAGGGGAAAAATCCCGGATATGATAACCTGATAATCAACAACTTTATCACTGTGTTTACAGTGAGGATTCCTGAAGAACACAACAATTCCAAAGACATTTCTAACAAACATTGAACGTTTTTTTTGGTTTGGGGTTTTTTTTTTTTTTTTGGTGCAAAATACCTTCTCTGGTCATTTACTTTGGATCTTGGCAGATGAAGTTAACTATTAAATACTGAGCTTGTGCACAGTACTTCTCCTGGTTTTCTTCTTTTTTTTTTTTTTCCAATTTGCTTTCTTTTTTCTTTTTTTGTCAGATTTCTTTCAAATAATATAAAAGTTTTCAGTAATTCCTCAATGTTTTAAAATAAGAAATTACCTGAGAAAACACCCCAGACTTTTTTTAATTAGTTTTCCCTATTTACATCGTTTTATAAGTTTGTAAGTTCTGTAGTTTAGTTGGTATAAAAATCTCTTGGTAAAAAGAGCCTAAAGTGCTGTCGTGTGCAGTATCTGATGTTCAAGTAGTATTAAATGAGATTTGGAAATGAGGAGTTGGAGACTCAAGAGAGCTGCTTCAGAAGCAGGCAATACCGAGGAAGGCACTGAAAGTCAGGTGCTGTTAGACAAATAGAGATAAAATTGAGCAAAGTGAGGAGAGAGTGTATGTTGGGTTTAAATCCCTGAGGGCTGCTGTGACATTGGGAAGCTTTTGACCGTGGAGAAGCCAGTGGGATTTTTGAAGCTGGACACGGGTGGAGTTTTTAAAGATGAAAATTCCGTCTGTACTGGCTTTTGCACAACTTGAGAGATTGTGGAGAGAGAGGTTAATTTTAATAATCAAAACAAAAAGCAATGAGTCATGGTGCAGAAGCACTAGTGATTAGACCATTTATGGAAAACATTCCTGAGATCCTGAGGCTGGAAAATTGAATCAAAATTATAGAAAAAGAGTGGTCACTATTATCAATAGTCGAAGAAAAGATCGAAGAAGATCTTAGAAGAAAAACAGACAGAATGGAATTACTTTTAGAAATACTAAGTCCAAGAAAAAGAATATTTTTAAAGTCAGTATTAATTTTGTGAGTACAGAATTATTTCTGCTGACTGATCCAGTCATCAAGTCTTACCAGTTCCTCAGAGAAGATGGGAAAAGAGTTAAACTTCTTAAGAGCAGAGGAATCTAAAAGTGAGAACAAAGATTTTAGGCTTTGGAAAGACCTTGATATCATTTGATCTTCTCTTGCTCTGAGAAAAATTAAATCTACCTGTACTGTTTGCGATTGATGTTTGCCTAATAGCTCATAATGATAAAAATACTTGTAGACCTTCAGAAAAGAAGGAAGCACTGAATATTTATCACAATTTTGTGCTTTATTAAGAACATGTTTCCTTTTCTAAGTCTTTTGACCTTTAGCTAATCTAATGCCTGTGCCCTCCAGAATAAATTGGTAGGTTAGCTAGTCCCTAATTTAAATTAGCTGCTAATGGTTCCACAGACTTCTACCTAGGGAGCTGTTCTGGACTTTCCTGATGCCATAAATCTCTGCTGCCTCCTGGGTATATGATGCTGCTCTGTGCTTATTTTGTAGATTTCATATTCATATATATATTGTATTTGGACAGATTGATGTTCTGGTAGCCACACTCCTATATGCCCTGTCCGCACTTTACGGCAGGCAGGCTTCATCTGCCCTACCCAGCTGGTAACTGTGGAGTTGACCAGATGATGCAGTCATGTTAAGAGCTTCTGACTATCCTTGCTTTCCTGTGGAAAGTAACCGTTTTTGTGCCCAGCTGGTTCTCACATTGCAGCAAAGAGATCTGACACACATCCGTCACCTTGTAACATCAGAAGTACATAGAATTGATGGCGTGCACATTAAAATCTACAAGATATACATTGCTTATGAAGAACTACTTTAAATTCCAAATTTAAAACATTTTTAAACATGTTTAATGTTTAAATGTAAACATTCCAAAATGTTTATATATAATTTTAGATTTATAAAATAATCTTTTAATGTGGAAAATGGCAGTTTTGGTTGTGGAGTACTATTTACTGGGAATAACATTAGACTGTAAACTTGTAATTTATTTTACATTAAAATTACTTGTTTTCTCAACAAAGAAAAAAAATCCAGCCCAGTTCCTTTGCTGTTAATTAATGTCTTACTCCATTTTTGCTTTTTTTCTTTTGGCTTTTACCCATCACAGATAGCGAAATACAACTGAGGCGAGACATGGTCTTCTGTCAGAGCCTAGTGGCCACAGTCTGTGCTTTTTCAGAGCAACTAATGGTGGCCTTAAATCAGATGTTTGACAACAACAAAGAATATGAAATGGAGACACTGGAGGCCAGCAGAAGGTGGTTGGAACAGATAGCCAGTGCGGGTCTTCTTCTTCATTTCCAGTCCCTGCTCTCGCCTAATCTGGTAAGACTCCTCATGTGGCATGCTTGGCCACAGACCATGTTTGTTCCCTGAACCAGTCTTAGTTATAAATGTGATTTTCTGTGTCCTTTGTGCTTAGCTTGTTACTTAATTAGCTGCCATTTGGAAAATCTGTGATTTAGATAATTACAGATACAGGAAAGGTTTATTTGTGATATGGGAAATGTGTTTTCCACAAAGACAGTGTTATGTTTGTTTTGAGTTAGGAGATAGTGAGTTTACCCTTGACTCCCCACCACTATCGTAGCTGTTCCTTAGGAGTGAATGTAGTATTAGATGGTAAATTCAGTTTGCAATAAGCAGCAATGCAAAATAAATAGAATACCTGGTTTGGATAATTTCATCATCTCCTCCCTCCAACAAACAATAGGTCTGTAGTAGTTGAAGGACTAGACATGTTAGTCTGTTTTGCTTCTGTCATAGGGCAGATCTTCATAGCCAGTCAGGGCAATGGCAAATCTATTCTTTCTTCAAAAGGTTCAGTGAAGAGCTATGGCTTAAGAAACAAATAAAAAAGGGACATGGACATGGCTTTGTAGTCCTCTGATCCCAGTTATCCAAAGTGCTTCTTCAGCTATTTAAGCTGCTTCTCGCACTAGACTGGTTCCTGCTAACCTGAAGAACTGCGAAGTAGTCTGCGCAGCCTGCTCCGTGGCAGTCTTCTCAAACTCTGCAGTTGCTCACTGAAAATAACTGATTTGATACATCCTACTGTATAAAAGTCCACGCAAATAACAGACCATGTTCCTTGTATCGAAGGTCTTCTTTCTTTGCCTTTATCTGGGCAGCAAATTGCTGACGAGTGGACCTGATAAGCTTTAGAAGCAGAAGAGATCAATAAAAATAAAGGCATTTCTAAATCACAAACATAAAATATTAGTCTATGGTATTGTTGGAGAGCACTGACTTGAGCTGGGGTGAACAACTACATCACAGGTAGTTGAGGGACCTACATGGGCTTGCGTGGGACAGGGCACGTCACAATGAGATGTGCAGCTTAAACACAGATGAAGACAGTGCCTGAAAGAAACAGGAGAGCTCTTTATCCACATGAAGAGTATGCGAAGAAAGCACGGTCAGGGGAGCTCGGGCTCATGTCTTGAGTCTTGGATGCTTTTTAGCACCATGCAGCACCAACGACTGTCCTGTTGCTGAAGTCCTCAGAGTTCAAGAGTAAATTCAATTGGTACCTGTCTTATGTTTCTCCATGTGCTTAGTCGTCATGTTATCACAAAATAACTGTTGTCTTTACAGCACTGAATACTTCTGGTTTTTCTTTGTAGTGAAAATGCATGCTATTTAGCTATTTTCGCGTAATCAGATACCACAGAATCATAGAATGGTTAGGGTTGGAAGGGACCTTAAAGATCATCTAGTTTCAACCCCCCTGCCATGGGCAGGGAAATCCTCCACTACACCAGGTTGCCCAAAGCCTCATCCAGCCTGGCCTTAAACACTTCCGGGGATGGGGCATCCACAACTTCTCTGGGCAGAATGCATTGTTGAATTTAAAATAAATAAAATACCATATTTAAACCATTAATACCATTTATTTAAAATAAATAAAATACCATACTGCATACCAGCAGTATGCATTGTTGAATTTAAAATAAAATAAAATTAAATTTAGTCTCTTGTGTCTAACTGTTCATAACCAAGGGAATAGTATTTAAAAGCAACTTTTTCAATACCTTCTCAGCACTATTTTGCCTAGAAATGATCCATGTTATTTTAAACAAGGATATTTGAAGGAAATTACACTCATTATGGCCAGAGTTCAGTAAAGAATGAACAGTTGTGCAAAGATTTCCCATGTCACAGAATGGTGTTCAGACTATTCTGCTGATAAAACTACTCTGTCCATAGAGACTTCATAAATGGAACCCAGAGACAAAGTATTTCTAGCAACTTTGCTTTTTCGTAAATACAACAGGGAATGCTTGTTCACTATATAGGTCAGGGAAAATAATGGTGTGGAGTTTTTTTTCCTTTCTATAATTCAGTAACCTATAGTTTGTTCTCATTTCATAGGCAGCTAGTTTACTATTCTTTGCCTTCCTACTCTTTCAGCTCTTAAAGGAGGAAAAATGCATGCCTCAGATTTCCATTTGGCTCTTGCTAACTCAAGGTGCTAGGGGAGGGCTGTATAAAGAATAGAACTACTTTAAGTGATTATTGATTTCTGCTATAATTGCTCTGCATGTTTAACTCAAGGTAACCATACTTGTAGATGGCCGTTTTCCTTTTAAAAGGTTCAGTGAAGTGTCCTGAGAAGTTGGTAATATACTTTCTGAAACTTTTTTGATAAACTAGTCGAGATCTCTTTAGCTCTCTCTTTAGCTCAGGAGTACACAGAGTGAACCATAGGTGCAAATCAGAATATTGACATCTCTGTATACTTAATTTGCATCTACAGTTTGGTAGGTGAACGTGCAAGTCACCCTGAGCTGTGCTTGTTCTGAGCCACTGGTTCAATTATTGGTGCTTAGAGTGGACACGATGAACTCTCATCTGTTGTTTATAAATTAAATGCTAAAGTTATGGAATTTTTTAAAGAAAATTGCTAAAAAGAATAATTTGTTTTTCACATTTCCCCTCTGTTAATTTACAAGCTAGACCTGGTGTCAAGACAAGTTGATGAAGTCTAGTATCTTACATAAAAAATAATTACAGTATTGTTTGATTAAAAGCCATGAGAAGTAATGGTAGCTATAAATTACCTATTAATTTACTATATGAAACAATAACATTCATTTTAATAATCTTGGACTAGTAGTGAAAGGGAAAGTGCCAATAAAAACAAAGATATTGACATTATCTATGAGTTAATTAGGTTATACACTGCACCAGTGAAATGTTGTGTAACATTCTGTAGTTACTTTTATGTCCTGCTCTCATATTATTTCCGGTAGGGAAAACATCTGGCTGAAATGACCATTTCACATTTTCTTTTGCCTTTTTTAGGCTGATGAGCAAGCCATGCTAGAAGATACATTGGTTGCACTGTTTGACTTGGAAAAAGTTACTTTTTACTTCAGACAATCAGAGCCAGAACCATTAGTTGCGAGTGAGTAATTATAATTAGTATCTGGGCTTTACTGTTCAGAAACATTTTCTGTGTTTCTAACATTTTTCTCTCCTAGAACATTACCTCCCACAGGGAATATTATATAATTTGGGATTATGTAGAATTAGTAGATCTGTAGCTCTCCTAATATTCCTAGATTTCCTGAAATACAACTAACATCAATGACAATGCAGAATCACTATCTGGCAATGTCAGTAACCTTGGGGGCAAAACTGTTTGCTTAACTGAATTTTCCACTGGGAGTATGTGACTGCATCAGGAAAGTCCCTGGAAAATCTAGTTGTTATTGAAGAGTCATGTGTAAAATAAGCTTGAAGGTCTTAATAGAGAAATGCAACTGAGATGCGATGGAGAAGCATAAAAACCATTTCATCGTCTGAAAGACAAAGTAGATCTTAGAAGAGTTCCTTGAAAGGAGATGGCAAATACTGTTGAAATAGCTTTAAACTGTGGAAGAAACTTCCTCTGAGACCTGCTGGTGCAGACATTCAGGGTCCTGAACCCTTCCTCCCAATACTCGCCCAGCTCGCAGGAAGGGACCATCTCTGCAGTTTGCTGTTTGTACCCTTCATTCATTTTCAGCCACTCCTTTATTAATATGGTTTTCCTGCAGAGAACTTTGTTTAGTGAGCAAAAAGCTCTCATTTTTTCCTAAGTCTCATAACTCCCCTGGGAAGGGAGGAAAGCATGTCTGCTTCACATCAAGCTTTTCTAAAACAATTCCCTTGCCGGATCGAGACCACACATGAGAGAACTTCTGCAATAACCAAAACCAGAAGAGACAGAGCTCCTCCACAAAGCTGCCCATGCTCTGAAGAATTCAGTAACGCAGGGCTGGTAGTCAGGTAGGAATTAGCCTATCTAAGACCGTATTTATTTCTGTATAATTCAAGTAAGGACGCTGTTCAGACTGTTTGTTTTAAAAAGAAGCCCTGCCGAGCCAGGTAATAACATGGAACCAGAGCTACAGGAGAGCCCCCTGATGGGGAGTTAACCCCGTACCTATATAATGAACTGTTCACATTACTGTGTCTTCCAGCTGAGGCGTCTGTGCTAAAACAGAGATAAATGGAAAGTCCGTGTGGTCTGGGCTTGTACTAAATTCTATATTTCCTTTTAGTTTAAGTGCTGCCACCACAGTCATCCTGACTATGGTTACAGAAGACAAGGAATTGGCTAATTTGGTTTTTCCATTTATGATTCTGCATAATCAATAAAAGAAAGTATTTTTCTTATTACCAAAAATAGTGAAAAATGTTTCTTCAGAATCTTTTCCATTTAGGTACAAAGTAATTTATGCACACAGCATGAAAACTACATGATAATATTATTAATGCCAGTCACTAAATTTTATTGTTACCGCTTTCAACTTAGAGACTTATATATGGAAGTGATACTTAAACAGGAAATAAATACAAAGCTTAAATTGAATTAAAGTAACTTCCTTTGAGAGATTTAGCTAAACAGCAAATTTTTGTCAACTTTTGCTCATGGTCATTACATGTTAATCATCTGGCATAATATACACAGTGTATGTTTGGGGAATCACTGTAATACTGCTAGTTGCCCTGACCTCTGCACCAGTTGATGTATGACAACATTTAGCTTGTCAAAGTGTAATGAAACGTGCTCTTACAGTTCTATATATTCTAGCATAATATGTTTGTTTTCTCAGCTGAGTCCTGATTTTTAATAATAATTTAATGAATATGCTGGTAGCTACTGTATATTTACTTGCGTTCTATCCCACGCAAATCTGAGGAGAATCTGACTCTGTGTATCACACTGACCTTACACATCATGCACCCGAGGGAGGCATGTGAAATATGGCTAAAGGTATCCTTCCAGTGATTTCAAACTATGTGCTGTATGTAGATGTTTCTTCAGATTTACAGGGAGTATGAGTAGGATGTTACCAACTACATTATTTGCGTAGTATTTTTGCTGTCGTTGACAGGCTGGCAAAGATAATAGTCATTGCTTTTCTGTTTGTCTGATTCCTGATAATGGATAGACCAAAAGTGACTACAGCAGCTCTGAGTATGATGTAAAGTACCGCACGCATTAGTTTTGTATCTGCAGAGATTTTTATCTAACTGTGTGAATTTTGGGTGCACGTTTCTGGAAAAGGACGTGTCATTGCTTTTAACGAGACAGTAACACTGACCGTTTTCTTAGATGTACCGATCACATACCAAGCAGAAGGAAGCCGGCAAACCCTGAAGGTTTACTTCTACCTTGATAGTTACCATTTTGAACAGCTTCCTCAAAGACTGAAGAATGGAGGGGGATTTAAAATCCACCCAGTACTTTTTTCACAAGGTAACTTGAGTTCTGATTTCCTCCCCTCCCATTTCTTCACATAATATTTAACTCTCTTTAGAACCCTACTTAGTCACTCTGATTTAAATCCTTTGTAACTATAAGGGTACAATGCTTATATTTAAATATGTTGTTTAATGTGGGCATCTATGGAGTACTAAGAATTAAAATATGAATTTAAGAAATGCTAAGGTTTTTGATGAAAAGTAGTCTTGAGTATACATTTCTAAGTTTATAACTGTTAGAGGATTCCAACACCAAAGAATGAATCCTCTTTCATCAATATTGTTTTGTTTTTTGTAGACATTAGTGGACTACAGTAAGACCATGAAACTTGCTTTTAGAAGTGTTTTGCGTTCAAAATGCTATTGTTATCTTTTCCTGTTACTTCAAATTTAAAGACTAAATTGTTATCCCCTTAGAACTCTGTCTCTTTAAAATATTATGAAGACTTAAATAACATTTTCAGGCTTTTGTAGTTGTGACACTGCAAACGTTACTGAAGTGATGAACGGTGGCACTGATGCTCAGACTGTTCATAAATTGCAGGCAGCCTGCATTAGCTGCAGTGTCATTACAGGCATCAGGAGCGTGGAGTTTGATTCACTGAAATGGTGAATGCGAGGTGCTGATTGCCTTGAGCCGCCTTTGATTTCAGAGGGAGCTGAAAGTACTCCGTACCTTGTAAAAGGCTTCCAGGGTCTGTGTGGAATAGGCAGAAGTCAGGCATACAAATGAAGGTTTTGAGGAGGGTTTGGTCTCTGGTAGATAGGGAGGATGTAAAAGGAAATAGCAAACAGTAAGATATGTGAGGAAATAGCTGAATTTACTGTAAACTTAAAACATACATTTTTTTAAAAAATAAGTCTGATTTTTTAAGCAAACTAATAAAGACAGACTTCAGTGGATTTCTTTTGAACAGATTGATTTCAGTCATAGGGGAAAGTCACAATACTGAGCAGTAGACACATTTCAGAAGAGCAGACAAAAAGGCACATGAAAGAGAACAGAAAATACCTTGGTTCAGATGAAATCCTGGAAAGAGTAGTTTTTTTAGATTTGGAAGGGCATTCAGTGTGCTACAGAATTTATTTTGCAGATTTTTTTCCCTTTCTTTTTCCTGAAGCCCAAAATAGTAGAGTCTTAGGATAAGCATCTTTGTAGTCAGCTAAAGGAAAAGGACTAAGATTCATTCAAGTGTTACATCTGCTTAATAATTTTCAGTAATATCAAAGATTTCTTCTTACCAAATTTCTTTAATTTTCACTGCTCATAGCAGTGTCTACTGTGAAATCAGACCGAGTTTCTTGGGTGTTTATTAAGTAGGATCTTGAAAACATCTAAGGACAGAAACTGTAACCTATCCCTCTACTTGACTGCCCTAATGTTGAAAAAGTGTTTTCTTTCTATCAAGTTAAAGCATCCCTTGTTTTGATTTATGTCCATTGCCTCTTGTCCTGTCAGCATGCACTGTTGTGAAGAGCCTGGCTCTGTCTTCTCATTGACCTTCTGATAGCTAATGGCACCTGACTAGTAGGTCCTCCTCAAAGTCATCACTTGTATAGGCTGAACAAGCTCAGGTCTCTCAGCCTCTCCTCACAGAGCATGTGCTCCACCCCATGACCATCTTCGTGGCCCTCTACTCTAACTCTTTGCAGTTGATCAACAGTTTTCATGTACTGTGGGGCCTAAAACTAGACACAGCATTCAAGATGCTGTCTAATGAGTGTTGAATAAAGTGAGGACAAGCACTTCTTTCAGTCTACTGGCCATGTTTGCATTAGTACAGTTTAGGATGCTCTTGGCCTTTTTGGTTGCCAGAGAACACTTCAGGCTCATGTTCAGCTAGCTGTCTAACACGACTCCGAGGTCCTTCTCAGCAGAGCTTCTCTTTAGGCTCTACCTTTCCAGGTGCAGGACTTGACATTTGTCCTTGTTCAGTTTCATAAGGTTCCTGCTGGCCCATTCCTCCAGCCTGTCTAGGTCCGTCTGTAGGGGGCCCTGCACTTGAGTATATCTACTGCTTCTCCCAATTCAGTATTAGCTGCAAACTTGGCTTACCACCTCCAGGTAAGTGATAATGATGTTGAACAATATAGATCCCAGTGGTATTCTGCTTGTAATGGGCCCTTAGGTAGATCATGTCCCATTAGCTACTACCCTTTGAGCCTATCCATCCTTCCAGGTGTTTTTCCCATTCAGTTGTCTATGCATTCAGACAGTAATATCCTAACCTGGATTCAAGAATTCCACAGAAGACATGTTTGTAAGGAAAGCTTCCTTACAAAAAAGCTTTCTAATATATCAGATAGAAAAAATATTAAACCCTTCGAAAAGGGGAGATCCAAAGCACACACTATGGGATTCTCTGCCAGCACCCGTGAGCTTGGCCCCTGCAGTGCCTGTAGAGGCAAAACTGTGTGCTCCAGCCAGTCCTGACAGAAGACTGAGTTTCTCGGTTGGGTGATCTAATTGGATGAAAACAACTTTATGCCAGTAAAATAAGCAGCATGGATTATCAACTCTGTTTGCACTAAAGTGCTATTATAAATGGAGTTCAGCAGATATTTTTGTGGGGGCTTTCGGGTGTGACTTGGTACCAAGGAAGTTAAGAAGCTAATGACTGTTGAAATTTAGTATTTTTCACACAGAAGTAGAATTACAAACTCTGAAAGCACAGAAGGGGAGTGTAATTTGCATGTTCTTTCACAATAAATGAATTATTTATTAACTGGTCATATTAAGCAGTACAGGCAGAATTAATATTCTGCGTGCAGCTGAAGCTGTAAGACGGCAACATGTTTCCATCAGAACTCAGCTTATTGCTTGCATTTTCTGATGGGGTGAGGAATTCTTAGAATGTGTATGGATTATTAAAGTGGCGATATTCCTAACTGTAAAATCTTTAATGCTTCTCTCCAAAAAAATTATTTAACTAAGAGCCTATGTTTTATGTTATAATAAGGTTAACCTCTTAATGGGAAATCTTAATTTTTCCAGTCCAAAATTTCTTGAGAACGCTTGATTTGACTTAATTTATCTAAATTAAAGGGGCTGGAGAAATGTTCTTTTTTTATTTCTTTTTTTGAAAGCTATTGCTAGGAAGAACATCCCAAAATGGAATGGTAGTGCATTCATTTTTTTCCTCCTTTTAATTTCTGTGCAATGACTGTGTGAGATACAATCCTTCCTTTAATGGAAGTCTTTGTTTAGTTCCTGAGTTCTTGTAGCAATATTCATCCTTGCTTTGTTGAAGTGAATTCAACAAAGGTGGACATAGTCAATTATTTGACTTTAGAAACTTACTTGACCCCTGAAAAGGAGCTTATAGGGTCTTTTCAGAGATCCAGAGAAGTTTGCTTTACTTGATCCCAAAGATGACATTCACATTATCAATGGGAATAACTAGAGGTTTGAGTGCTCCACATCTCCCAAAAGCATGCTTTATAAGAACTTGTTAGGTCTCCCTCTGTGAAAGCAGCTGGTACATTAATCCTTTCTTTCCTCTACCCCAGCTCATTCTACTGTTCCAGGATATATCAGAACTAAAAATCACATTTACATTCACAGGGCAGGAGTACTTTAATTAGAGCAATGGAACTCAAACTAGCGCTCTCCTTTATATTTTCCACAGGGCAAGAAATACAATTTTTCTTGTAAATGAAATCTTAAAGAGAGATCTGTATGAATTTGATGACATACGGAAACAGCTCAGCAATCCACAGTGGGGTCACAGCCTCAAGGTTAAAAAGTAATTCACTAGTGTGTGAACAAAGCTACAAAGAGGGCGAATACTAAATATTTAATACTGATATTTCTCTTCTTCATTCTCCTTTCTTTTTTCACAGCATTGGAGAGCATGGAAGGATATTATTACAGAGACAGTGTCTCAGTGGAAGAATTTCAAGCCCAGATTAATGCAGCCTCACTAGAAAAAGTCAAGCAGTATAACCAGAAACTACGGTGGGTAATAAACCAACATTCCTAAGATTAGTTTACCGAGTTCTGCTTTTCAACTCAGTTTCTATGACACATCTTTAAACTGAAGTGTGTTGTATGGTGATTGTTTTTTGGTGCGTGATTGAATAAGATCCCAGATTCATGATTCTGGCTTTTCTGATTTAAAAAATAGTGTTGTTTTCCTCAAAGCTGATCACCTTCCTCCCTGCCACCCACCATACTAATGGGAATATAAACATTTTTGGATATTTGCATCAGCTTCAAGTATGAGTTACAGAGTGCGTACTTGCCAGTATATGTAAAAAAATTATGAAGCTGTGTATTTCGGTAAATATTTCATTAGAAGTTGCACATAAAGACAGAATTTCTGGTATACAAAATAATTTATTAGTTATGAAGTAAAATAATAAAGATGTGCACATAGACCACTCTTGCATCTCACTGTGTCTGTGAATAACACCTGTTTGAGTGTTACTTGCACATGAGTTGAAGAAAAAGGTTGCAAAGGACTGCAGTAAAATCACATCTATGCACTTTTAAAATTCTTGAATCGGACGGAAACACTATCATTTCATTAGACTGTTACGCAGCTTTTAAAAGCAGCAGAGAATAGGAGTTAAAAAAAGAGAATAAAGACTGTGGAGAAGGAGAAAAAAGACAAATGAAGGTCTGGGTTTTTTCCCCACTTCCTTCACCTGTTGGCCCACTCCTGTCTTTGGAAGGTTTTCTTCATGGATCTTGCAAAAGTATTTCTCTAATGTGTTATCGAAGCGGTGGACTTTCTAGATTCTGTTTTAATCTAAGTAGTACTATAGCAAAAGTGATTTTGAAGCCAGTTGTATTTGGTGAGTGCTTTATACATCATTTTTTTGTGACACCTCTGTCAGTGCACTTTTATGTAATGACAAATGTAGTATTTATTTAGTCTATTTTCCACTTTCTTGTATTAGTACTTCCTATTTGGAAAATAAACTTCCTCCTGAGTATTTATTTGACAATGGTTATGTTATAAATCAATTTTACTGAAAGCTTTGGTCATGCCAATATTTGGCCTAGATGAAATCAGCTGGTGTTGGAAAGAGATTTTTATCAGATGGACAAAGCAAGACTTTTTGTGCTGTTCTTTCTATGAATAGGCCCAATTTAGCCCCCATGAAAATCCTTAAAAGAAACTCTTCCTGACTTTATGCTCTAGTGTTCCCTGACCTTGCTTACCTCATGTGTTAGGACCCCCATTCATGCTGTGGCTCTAATGAGGTACATTCCTCTTACGGTGTTGTGAGTCACAGCTCTGATCAGTTGCTGACCTCCAAGGCCCAGTTTTGCAAGAAGTTACTATGAAAAAGTTAGAATTCAACAAAAATTACCATGGGCAGCTCTAAGAATAGGAAAACTTTGGATTTTTTTCCAGCCATCTAATGTCTGATGAAAACATTCAGTAATTGATTTTTTGTTTGCTTTTTGGTGAACTCTACTCATTTCTTAAATGAAGCACAAAAAGCTTCAGGAATTCACTGGCATAACGTGAAGAGGAAAAACAGAAAAGCAGATGCTTCACTCTTGTTCTGCCATTTGCTAGCCTCTGTAGGTGTTTGGCCAGGAGAATCTAACAAAGTAACTACAGCAGCAAAAGATACTAACATTTGGATAATTGCTCTAAAGGAGAACAAAAAAGCGAAATTAAATATTCCCTGGAAACATACTCAAGTGCAGTAATACTATCTTAAACTCTTCACGTGGAAGAAATCCTCTGTGCAGAACCACCTAATCAGTAATAAAATAAGTCATCCAAGACAGAATCCATAAACCATTCTCCGTAGAAAAGGAATGCATTGCTTGCTTGTGAAATGACCAGCTGATGACCATCTTATAATCTCTCCATCATTACAGCAGTGGAAAGCAAACGAGAGCAACAGCAAAGGAAGAAGTAGTGAGAGAAGAGGATGGGGACTAGTGGGAATGAAACCACTGGTTGGCAGCCAAGCCATCTGTTGATGGGAACTCTTGACACAAGTTCCAGCTTCTTTTATTCCTGATGCATTTGAATAATAATGCTCTAATAATGTGAAACAGAGGAGACCACTTTGTTGTCTATGGTCCCACTTACAGAGGCATTGGCCTAACTTGGGATGTACCCAAGCAGGGCGGTAAAGTTAATAATGAGTAGTACCTTTGTTCAGCTATCTCTTAATTTTTTGTGGTGAAGTCTTGTTAAAGTTTGAGTACATAGAACATTTTTGAGAAATGGGGTGTCTTTTGAGTGACAAATCTGATACTGATGTGTGCCTTAAAAGAATTCATTTACAAATTTGAATGAATCAAAAGATATATTAGTAAATTTTTAGTAGATTTCAGGAAAGATAACTTTTATCCATCATATAAAGTCAAGAAGCTGAATCCTTGCTTTTATTGCAAAATTCATTCATAACTATGGAACTGTGACCAGCTTTTCCACAATATCAGAAGTGATACAATAAATCCAGGTGCAAAATTGTCCTCCTTGACACTGATTTGAGCATCATAAGAGCTTCTGTCTTTCATGGTTCTTGCTCTGGGGCTTTTGCAAATACTATTTCAGTTATGAAATAGTAATGATAAGATTGTCATTTTTATGAGAATGCCTGAAAGTTCAAAATTGGTTACAGAATTTCATGCTTATGTGGAATGGAGAGAATGTCCCTCCATCTTCTGTAATAGACTTAACCCTAGCTATTTGCATTAACTTTTTTCCTAAGTCTAGCAAAGCTGATTTTTTCTACGATTCCTGAGGCAACATCCCCTACCCCAGCAATCACAATAACGATGTTATTTTTTTAAAAAAACAACCAATACCTAGTTTATGAAATTTCTGAAACTACTGGGAAATCTTCAGCATCTGGCCTACAATTATTCTTAATCGTGCTGGATTTCTGTTTCACAGTCAGCCAGATTGCACTTATTTTTATAGTTCACCAATTCTGTTTCTCTGACACTGATAAGGAAGGAAAAGTTATGCTCAAATTCTGTTTGCAAGTTGATCTGGTGCTAGTAGTTGCCAGCAATGTAAATTTAACCTCATCAAACTGTTTGCTAATGAGAAACATGCAGTACAACCAAGTGAAAATAATTAGGTCAGCAAAGATTTTAAAGGTCTTTATTACTATGTGTTTGATAGCTCAGCAGTTGCCTTCTAAATTAGAAGAGGACCAGAAAGAACCTGTGTATCTGACCTGTACAGAGGCTGATGTTAAGTGAGCCTGTTCTTTGTTCTCCTGCCTCCTCCCACTTTTCCCCATTTTCATCCTTTGGTGCTCCTTGCCATTTGAATCGTCTTTTTTCCTCCTGAATCAGTCCTTTTGCTTTCACAGATACCAGAGACTGTTCTGCTTCAAGAGCGCAGGCCACAATGGAGTTTGAATCTATAACTACTACAAGTGCTGATAGGAATAACAAAAACTCAGAAATGCACTCTATTTACTTGGACTGCTTGGTTGGTTGAAGTATTCTCTTGCAAATCTTGAGTTGTGTAGTTGTAAAAGCATGAGAGTAAACCTTAGCTGTAATTTTTGAAGCATTACTGCTTTAAGAATTACTTAATTAGAATGCATTCTGTCCTTTGAATATGATTTTTTTATGTTTTGTAAAGGTCTCTCTCCTGTAGAGTGAGATTCAATATGGTAGCTATTATTATGTTACATAGAAATAAATCTTATGGTCACGACTTCAACCAAAAGATTGGTGGCAATGCAGGCCTGTTGGAAGCTGGGACAGGCCCCATCTGACAGGTTAACTGAATGGCCATTACTCAGCCAGTCCTTGGCCTGAATAGTGACTTTAAGATAAAACGTTTGGTTGAATATGAGAACACTTTTTATCCTCAGAGAAATCAGGTTTTGGATTAGCTACCTGCAAAAAATAAGCCGTTTTTTAAAATGGACCTTGATGAGTGTAGGAATGACAACTTCAGTAATGTTTGTCCAAGTTATCAGAGGTTTGGACTTGATGGCTCAAAGTAGGACTTTCAGTCTACAGTAGTAAGGAAACTTGCTCTTCCAGTCGTCTTTTCTCTGTGAGTATTTGACGTTTTATCAGATTAGTCTTTCTTTTTTTGTTTGTGAATTCTGTTTCTGGGAAAAATTTGGGTCCCTCCTATGACATTTTATTAAAATGCAGTTTTCTACAGAGGCTCCTGGTTAGCTTCTTAATCAGAAAAGTCCAAGCATATCTGCTCTTTAAGAGTTTTTTTCCTGGACACGTTTGTGCACATGAGGGATCTATCTCAAAGGCAGAGAGGATGTTCAGGGCACAGGTCATTCGGTGGGATGCAGGACTGTGGCTGTACCAAGTATGCTTCCAGCTTCTGGGTCTCCACAGTATGTTTCGCTGCACGTTGTTGTCTGCAAGAGTAAACTATGTTGGAATATGGGTGCCTAAAACTGCACATCTGTATACCTGTTTGGATTCCAAAACTGTCTATGCAGATAATTTTTAGCTGATGAGAAATCAGTGAAATCACTGGCTTTTAGATTCATAAGCATTTTTAATGCCTCTTCAGCACTCAAGCTTGAATTTAGACATCTAAACACCTTTAAAATTTGGTTTGCGATGTTATGGTGGCTTGCGTTGGGAATATTCAGAGGGAAATAAGCAAAATAATAGATGAAGGTGAGGTTAAGAGAGCTCTACTTTCCCATAACTTTTCTTTTATCCCCAGCATGGCACTTTCTTGTGACAACCCTGACTACATGATGACCCACTTCTTCACTCCAAAGATAGGATCACACTGTGGGAAAGACAGCTGAGGGTTGCTATCCATCCCCACCACTGGTGTGGGTGCTAATTATCGCTGTGTACTAATTAACTTGCCTGTGCATCAATAGACAAAGAAGGTCTGGAAAAAATGTTCCTTCCTTCCTGCCTACCATTCTGTGTGATTTGGAATTATTCTTTGAAGTCAGCTGTGTCCAGGGTTATTGGCAGCTACTTTTGTAGCCTGTTGTACAGCAGTAATAGAAGAAAAATTA